TGCAGCTAGAAATTTCGATGAAAGATTAGAATAATTGCCCAAGGGACAAGTTTGGCTTGTAATATTTTGAATTCGATCTTGAACAATAAGAAGTATATTTATAACTGCTGGTTTAGGTTGATAAGGAACAAATTAAGAAACCTTTTTCGTCTGCAGAGGAGTTTGGCCTCGTGTCTTTAGAGCAAATTTGTAATTTGGTAGCTAAATGCAATATTGTTATAATGGCGTGGTAACCGGATAGGGCGCCAAAATCCCTTTTGTAACAATTTACAACAACGGCCCTCTCTTATTATGATTTTGAGTATTAAAAATTTTTTTTCTTTTTTTCTTCAGAAGGTGAATATAAGTTGTGATTGCGTCCTTTTTTATTCCTGTACTTGCATTCTTGAAAATTTAATTGGTGGTGAGTGCAACTCAACTAATAGCGAAGTTTAATACATTTAAGGTGTCAATTACCATACATTCTATTAGATGACACGTGTCTCGAACTACATGTATAGGTTATGATTTTTATCCAAGAGTATTAATTGTCTTGTTGTTATTACCTTCATGGATGTCAATGTAAACTTGCAAATTTAAATTTAGTTTCTAGAAGGTTACTTCACTTTAATATTTGTACGCATACAGGTGAAGGCTTTATGAATTTTCCAGAAATTTACAGAAATCTGCAAAATTTGTTTTACAACAGAACATCTATGGCCATCCATGGAAGCATTTTGTCCGAATAATGACTTTGATTTTGGTATGCTGTGAAGCAGCATTTCTTTATATGAAAGGAAGAGTTTGTCAATTGGCCAACATCTTGATGCAGATGAAGTTGAAAGTATTGAACGAAGACTCTGAGTATTCAGACATGCCAACTAGATTGGATTAGACTGCTGCTGATGAGATATGAGAACAAAATTTACTGGTCACTACGATGAACAAATTAACACATTCGGGTAAGGCCTCGGGCATATACCCCTGTTACACCGGCAAACTTGAAGAAAAAGTTTCTTAAAATGATCAACCTGTGTGACATCTGCGCACATATTTCATTTTCACGCTTGGGGCAGGGCGACCTTAACATGCTCTGAGCTAATTTTCCGTTGCCGTAGCAGCTAAGTAAGCTGCCATAAGTAGTATAAGTTAGAAGTTCTTTTTCGATTTTTGCCTTTTTGACTAACATATGAAGCCACCACGCTACTGCTGGTGTATGTTATCTTACCTAGCAAGCAATCCGTATATCATAATATAACGTGTCCTTAACATTTTTCTAATATGAGAAATCCCATTAGATGATCTATTAATTAAATAACACAGACTGAAAATAGCACCCAGCACTAACAACAAATTAAATCTAACAAAATAAATACAATATAAATATAATCTAACAATTCCTTAATTATGATTTAGACATAATTGTGTTTTTTATCATCATTTCAATTAATTGGATACGTTTGTATTCTACCATTCAAACTTCTCTACTGTTGGCATTAGACACAATAATCAGAATTATATTGGTCATCATTATTATTTTATCACTATTTCAAAACCATTAGCCGAAAAAAATGTCAAAATATACTATATCACATTACCTGTTAGTTTGGTTTTAAGCATTTCAAATAAAGGCGCAGGAGTAAGGTCATAAATTTTGTCCCGCACCAACTTTTGATATTTAGAGAAGGTAATGCAGCTGCTTTTTTACGCGAATTTGTAGTCTCTATTGAACCATTCAAGCTTAACGGTTTTAGCGATAGTGACGTCCATTCAGTCTGTATATTATACTCATTCTTTTTTACAAAATGAATAGTAACGATATAAATCATCCTTTAAATGTCCCAGACAGAAACTGAAAGCTTTTTGTATCTTTTGTCTACAGCTTTACATTTAAATTTTCACTGTTATAAATTTATTAATCTATAGATTAATCAGTATTGTTTGCCACTTGAGGTACACTTAGGACATTTTCATTGATATGTGGTTAATCCAAATCACGCGACACTTTCGTATTTACAACACTGGTAATTCCATTTGAAAATTATGATTCCAAAATTATCCTAAACTAGCAAATACAATTAAGTACGAAAGTGTTTATTTCGCGTTCCGCTTAGAATCACTCGTTCAAACTGTGCATATTATACGTGAGTATTCCTTTAATTCATCGTTATATTTTATTGGTTAATTTGTTGATTAGTTTAAATCTATTAGTTTAGATTTTATAACAGCGTTGTATTCCCATATGGTCATATTGATCTAAGAGTGTTATCAATGTTTTTATTGTTTGCGTCAGGCAAGGTGTAATTTTACTTGTCGGTTTCAAAAGGACAAGGCAATCTAATCCACGGTTGATAAAGATGATAAAGAAGCAAATGTCCAATTTTAATTATAAAATTTTAAAAGATGAAAACGCACATATAAGGGACAGTTGCATTTTCTCGTATTAACTAAAAATATTTTCAGGTTATTTATTTTCAAGAGATTTAAATTTGGTCAAAATGTAACAGTAGTTATCACTCATTTTCATCTGGTATGGTTGCTAACTCTTCGACGCTTGTTCAAACGCAGAGGATTAGATAAGGACATTGCTTTTATAATTTTCCAAATGAGAAACAAGGTGTCCTTTTGGTGAAAACCAAAAGGATTAAAAGCATTTCTCTCCCTTAGATTTTTCAAGGATTTTTTTCTTGACTAGTGTTTTGCTGTTCGACCGTTTAAAATAATATATTTTCCAAAAAGTTTTCATATTGAAGTTATTCGACCATCGTCCTTTAAATGATTTTAATGAAATAGATCTTAATTACAGTGACACAATAAGTTCGTCGTTATCGTATTAATTTTTTATCTATTAATTTTGTTGAGTTGGGAATTTTTTTGTCATTGTTAATGAAATTTGGTTAAATTATATATAATAATACATGTGAGATTCAATTCAAACTTAATTTGTTTTTCTGGAAATAGACATAACAATGTAGTGAGATTTTAATAACATTTAACACAATATTAATACCTTACTAAGTAATTTCGTCCTTTCTAATAGTCGAAATGCATTAATAAGAAAATATCGAAACTTCATTGTGTTAATGGATCTGCACATTTAATATCATTAGGAAAGGGTTATCTTAGACGAGTTAATATCTATATATAATATATTTATCTTATGTTTCAATCCTGCTTCGTGAGGCCAATCTGGAAAAACCTTTATAATACCCCATGGTGCAAAATAGTTGGTAGGTAGAAAAGTAAATTGTAACTATTTAAGAAACTAAATGATGAACACGGTCGTATACCATTTTTGTCTTCAGCGAATCCCTATCAAGGTACAGAAAGAGTGTATAAGATGTTTTTCCTGGTTTCCGTATGACATACCAACTACCCACTAACATACACAATACACAACTAAATGCCGTTCACCAGAACTAACATTATGCAATGTTATAATCTGAAGGAGAATGCTTTAAACAACGGTAATTGGCGAGACGTAAATAAATAGATAAATAAATACCTAATATATATTATTGCTGTCCCTAATTTACATGGTATAGTTTTCAGAGTAGACTTTTACCGAAGCGTTGTGCATAGGCAAAATCGGAAATCAACTTTGGTGATATATTTCTTTAGTGTATTGTTATGTCTTTCCGGTGGTGATAATGAAAATTATTGAATCACTGACTAAAAAAAGTGTAATTTTCTAAAAGCATGTCATACTGAAATCTCGACGTTCAACTTTTAGCAATGTGGCATGAAACGGTTCTAGGAAATATGCAGTCCTTGATAGGATTTTCAAAATATAAAGTGCACTTTAGGTGCAGTAGACATTTTAGGGATAATTTATCTACACACTTTCTTCTTTGACGGACAGCAATATTATTTAAGCAATCCACAATGGCAATTGATTTCAAACTTTCTATGATCAAGTCCGGAATTAAATTGCGTTAGAGGTGTGGATATCTAATTTCAGTATAGTTAACAGAGCTATTGTCGTATAATACTTGACTATAAATATAACGAAACTTAACCTCTATTTAATTAAATTGAGAAACTGCATACTACAAGAACTCTCCCATTAAGAAGGTAATCCGATTTCGCTTAGAGGCCATCAATATATAATTTCCGCTGCATATTGGAGAATAAAAGAGGATGCCTGATTATATTCCTTTAAATACATTAGGCGAACATTTCTCACAGAGCAGCGCAGCTTCTTCAAGCAAACCCTTAGATAGTTCTATAATCTTATAGGATGTTTTGTACAAGATTTGAACACAACATATATATATATATTTTAGGCGCTGTTTGTTTCACTTCAGAAACTCCAAAAAGGAAAACAAACCAATTCAATATCGAGTGAGTATAATCCAAATTGATGACATTGTTAAGTGCGACAGTGTAACAGTGGTGAGGAGTAGAAAAAGGGTGACTATATATGAACTCGAGAAGAAAGAAGGAAAGCTAAATATGAGTATGTGAATCAGGGGTGCGACAAGAAGAATTTAAGGAAGGAATGCAAAACCCAAGTTACTTCTTAAAGAAATTTACTGATTTAAATGGTATTGTTAAACAACTAGGAAAGCATATTCCAAACATATTAAAATGACACAATTTTTCAAGAGAATGCTAACAGCATAGCTTAATTTAATAGACTTGCCAACATCCACGAGGAAAACAGTTGGAGTCTGGATCCCAATACTTATTATCTGCTAGTTGTACCCCTGATACTACCGTGCATGTTGGGCATACAAATAGTTGTATTTATTTAAAGAATATATCATAAGATGACAAACAATCATTATACTGAAAAACACATTATTATGGTATATATTCTGAAAATTTTTAACATTTACCATTCTAACAATAATACTTAACTTGCAATTGGCCTAGAGCGTGCATATCTGTTTTATATAATAAATTGATATTTAGATAGTTTTACCTTCATTGAAGGTTCTGGGCAGTTTCTTGAAAAATGTATCCTTAATGTAAATTGTAGCATTTATTATACAGCTTAGTATTGATTCACATACTGACTACCAATAATGAAAAATAATGCTTACCTCTCCGTTTAAAAAGCAGTAAATTAATGAAATGAAAAAGCCTTCAAATGATATTAAAAAATGTGAAATGAAGGCCCAGGCACCAAAGCTTACTAGATCTTCTGTATCAGGGTCGATCATGACAACAAAATTTGTTATTCCTAATAATGGTAGAAGAACTATGGCTGCTTTTACCGCTTTTCTGAAACAACAAACACAGAACATTGGTAATGATATTAATAAAACTCTTTAAATGACACAGGTATGATATAAAGACATATTACCAGACATAAGTATCTCTACAGCCATGGGTTTCAAATACGTTAGATCCTATCAACTAATTCTATTGGACAGAAGAATAACCAGATTGACTCCCGTCACCTCTGTGGACCAGAAGAATGATATGAACAAAATGTCTGAGTGGTATTACATTTGAAATTAAATAGTCTTTAGAATGAAATAGGCAGTCAGATAGTACCCTAAACAGTTGAATATGAAAAAAACAGTCTGAGGCATGAGGTTATGGAGACCATATAATTCATTGGGATCTCTCGGGATAACTCTGAGTTCAACAAGAAATTAACCACAACACAATTAATCGTAAAGTAATGGCTGTAAAAAGTTCTTTCCATGTCTACAACATTGAGGGCAATCAAGTCATGATGGTGGGCATGATTGTTCCTGAGGCCATTCTTAAGTTTCATAGTCCGAAAGGTGTATTGAGCTTCAGCTCCACAATAATGAGCATTGTGATGTAGGCCTAGTTAGCAATGTAAGTTATGCTTACTGTTGTGGAACTCAAGATTTCACTCAACTCTGAGTACCTCAGTTCACAAAACTAATAATATTCTTCGGTATATTTAATGAGCTTTGCCTTAATATATAATTTACATTTTTATTATATGGACATCATCAGCTTCCATTATGTATTGTCCAGTTCACATGAATTGTGAATACTGCTTATATTAATATGATATTATATGCTTATTGGCCAGTCTGTTGGTTATCAATATGACATTAATGACTCCCCATAAAGCATATCTATGACTTATATTACTTTATGGGAGATTGCTAGGATTGAAATGAATGTTTTATGTCATAATGATATTTATTAACTTTTAACATCTATCACTTGTCATATCACCCATTTTCTCAATGATGTTGAACAGGTACGATGTATTGTCCTTTCGTAAGTATTTAATACATACGCTCATATCTGTGACAGTTTTTTATGAAACTATTACAACTACTTACCTGCTATTACAAAAGTGGGCGTAATACGATGACCATCGCTATTTTTCGAAATGGAATAACTAGAAATGGGGTACATCACAGTCAGTTTTTTTAAGTGATCTGCACAATTTTTCTGTATCTATGCTTAAATGTTCGTTTGGAATAAAGCAAGGGATTTATTTGCTGGATAAAAATAGTATACCATATGATTGCTAATATAATGCGAACTTTTTATTTTACCTCGAGTAATTAAGTTCACAAAGACATCTTAAGTGGTACTGTTTTATATGGTACCTTGTTTTTATATTGAAATCCGTCCTTTCCTCGATTATATGGCAATACCTTTTTCATGTACTTGATTGCTAATATAATTGGCAGAAGTTCACCAGGTTAACTTACCTCACTCGGTTTGCTTCATTGGTATGACTTTCTCTCAGTTTTAAAATTAATACACGTATAATATTTAATAAAAATAACATATTCACCTGCAAATACAAAATATATATATTGAAAATTATTTATATTTATGTAATTTAATATTGCAAAGATTTTTCTCTGTATACTGATAATGTATAATATAATTGGGCTTTTGGTTCAATCCACCGAAAGAAGTGTTTTTTGTGTGTTCTTTTCTTTCAATGTAAGGTATTATGCAAGATGAAAGGAGCTTAGTGGCTAATGGCATGTAATTAAATGATTCTGTGGACCACATTATAAATGGATGTAAGTCAAATCTACTATATGAATATAAATGTAGATGTCGAATTAGCTTGAATGTAAGGTTAACATATTATTCCACGCGAATTACTTTCGAATCTATGCTTGTTAAAAACACCATATACATGACATGTGATTGTATAACGATTTCAGACCTCCAACGTAAAGACACGTAAAATGATAAAAGGTCAGTTCACATAATTATCCCGTCATACAATTTTAAAAAGTTTTTTGATGTTCTGAGAAAATGAATTGAAATAGTTAGGGGCTTACGGGACATCCAGATGTTACTTAGTATAGCTGAGCTAATCAGTGTATCAAAGCTGTCTGTAACATCAGTATTTGCCGCCATTAACAGGCCTCGCAGCGATATTTAAGAAAACTGTTCATATCAATAGCCTTCGAAAGATCAAGGATGTAATTATTTCAGCAATAGTCAATTTTCATGAGATAAGTTGATGATGATTTCGGATTAAGAGATCATCAACGGTTATAAGTCTGGTTGTATCATTTCTTACATCTTACATCTGGTTGTTACATTTCTTATGAATAAAAACAATTATTCTGCATTTTGGGTTTTTTTCCCGTAGATAATTGCAGAGTTTAGATTGGTATTTCTATTAAATTTCAAATGTCGGAAATACAGAAGGCCTCAGCTTACCAGGATAACTGCTACACGTGGAGCTTCTATAATCCAAATTATTGGCATATTATAATAGGCGTACCAACATCTATAAATAGAAAAAAAAAACAGAACATAATGAATATACTATAATCATTAATTAATATAGATAAGAAAAATTTAATTGAGTCGCTTTTTATAAGACTTTAAGTAAGAGCTTGGAAACCGAGAATATAAAACTAATAGATAGTAGACGATACACTAAGTAAGTATTTGGAGATTTCTTAATATGTGCTTGGAAGATGTTATGTAAACAATATAACTTGTTAGCACGTATGCATCTCCCTAGAAACACACGAATGTAGCAAAAAGTATGAAACTTAGCAAATAATATGGATCTGGCAAATAGTATAGACGTAGCGAATAGTATTTATGTAGGAAATAGTATGGACGTTGTAGCGAATAGTATTGAACCTTATATTTTTGATCATCTGAACTGATGTATAATTTTTCTCAATCTTTAAAATATGCGTATCAACCTACTTTTTAAGATTATAAAGGACTCTGGATTTTAATATTATACGGACAAGTGCCTATTGTTTTGAAGATAAAAGCGGGGACAATAATGTTACAAGATGTTATAAATCTAGAATAATCCAAAACCTGGCATATTTCTAGATTCTTATAATATGATAAATGCTTATATTATAAAACATATTGAACGACGTTTAAACTTTCATAAAAATCAACAAGAAATAATACTGTAAGTAATCTTCATTACAAAGAATTTTTGGGGTCACATTTCGGCAATACTTAAGCGAAATATTGCTCGAAGACCACTAAAGCTAATCAAATCCCGAATTTGCCAAGCATTTCATTTATATTACGTGATAATTAGCATAAATAATAAGGGGCTTTCAATATAATCATATATAAGATTGCCTGTGGTGTTCAATATTAGAAGCTTTTGAAGACACTGGAAACTTAGAAACTGCTCGGAGAGGTATGACCACGGGGACAATCTTGTGCAATCTCTCATATGAAATATCTTGTAAAAATAATGGTTTAAGCTTTAGGGTGTATTTTTGTTCGAAAAACAAAATTGTCAATTATAACTATTATGTTATTTTAGATACTTTTTTGTATAGTGTGTTGGTTTTGAGTCGACGATTGTCAAATATATAAAAACAGAGAGGCAGGGGTCAATTTGGATTCAAAGAGTTTATTATCACACCAAATTTCAGTTTATATAATCAAGTGAAAGTTTGACAATTTCATTTATTTCAGTGGTTACTTTGGAAAAATGCCGGACGAACAGAAAGCTTTACTCGATTCGCTGAAATCAACCATCAGAAAAAGAGCCACCCTGAGAAGTTTAAGGGACGATAAACGCGTCAGTTCCACCATCGAAAGCGGAGATGCAGGAGAAGTCCAACTGTTGAAAGTTATTCAAAATAAACTGGTGGAAAGCCAACGAAAAATTACATCGTCTGGATGAAGAAATTCAAGATTTATAGCTGAATCACAGTGATTTAGCAGATCAGGATTTTTGAAGAATGTGATATTCTGTATGATAATCATTAAGAATACCTGATTACCTTTCCAGTGTATCCACGAGTTGGTAAACTTATTAAACATACTTCTGTGAAACTGCCAAAAATGAACTTGCAAATGTTTTCTGGTGACAGGCGTAAATAGACTTTAGTTTCTTGAACGTTTTTCACAGTGAGATACATGAATGCCATGATATTTCTAATGTAACCAAATTTAATTACTTGAAAGGCCAACTTTGTATGAAAAGAAGAGTTGAAAGAATTTTAGCCACTGATGATAACTGTTGGTGCAAACACTGCTGGACAATTATGGTAACAAAACTGCTATAAAAAAAACCACACCAACCCAAGAATGCCAACCATGGGAGTTCAACTGATGATACTAGTCTTTCTGGAACCCTTTCAGAGACCAGCTTAAATTTGCCAATTTTGTAAAGCTCAGCATAGTACTTTAAAGTGTACTTTGCCTACAGATGAACGTTATATTGCTGTAAAGGAGACAAACTTTTGCTTCAACTGTCTAAAGGATTCACATACAGCGTGTACCAGTGAATGGAAATGCTGCGTTTGTAGACAAGCTCATCACTCAGCCTTACATGGTGCAAGACTGCTTAATACGCAAACCCACTCAAAGAAGTCATCGTTGTCGACTCAGTCAAGTACAACTGCATCAACAGTTCTAACAACCGACTATACGAAAATCAGAAGGGACATGTTTGTACCTTACCGTCTCATGGTGGAACTCAGCTTCTACAGAGACACACAACTACTAGCCAGGTTTTTCTGAAAACTGCAGTGGCTATGGCTCAGAACCTTGATAATACAGCTTCATCGATGAAGGATCAACACTTTCCTTCATCACCACAGAGGATAATGCGGAGCTCGATGTCAAGCCTTTTGCCAGAGTAGATACATTTGGTGGTAGAAGTTTAAAACCAGAGTATGATGTTTGGTCAGTTAGTATCATAACAGAAGATGGTTACCATTGAGACTCATTTCAAGGAAATGGTACAAAGGTTTAAAGTTACCACATCTCAGAAGGCTCACTTTAGCAGATTACTTTCAGCATACCAGTTTTCCAGTCGACATACTTATTGGTGCAGATTCAGTATAGCAATTCTTGAAACCAGAAGTCATCTCCGGATACCAAACAGCACAGGCCTCCAATTTATGATATCTTTTATCTGGACCTTTACGTTATACCTCTATCAGTGCTGATGTTGGTGATAACACAATACAATGTTCAGTTGGTATATCAGAGGAATTACATTACATTTAGTTGGTTACCAGATGGATTTGACCAAGACTTCTATCGACAGGTTCACCAAGCCTTTCAGATCGAGTGGTATTTATTGGTTCAAAATACAAGGTCGCTTCATCTGAGCATAAGCACACAGTTCCAAGATTGGAGTTGATTTCTATGCTGATTGGTGCAAGATTTGCAACATTACTGATTGGTATCCTCCAGAAAGAATTTGCTAGCATAACCAGTTACTTTTGGACATATTCTACTATTCCAGAAAACAGTCTGTCTTTGTCCAAGATCCGTCGACTTACAGATGTCAATTCATGGTCAAATCAGATCTGAAGACAACCCTGCTGATATTTTGTCACAAGGATGCTCATCAGGTAATTTGCAGAAATCAATACTATGGCAGTTCGGACAAACATGGCTAAAAGATCCAAATTTATGGCCACAGCGGAGTCCTGTTAATGGTACTTTAAACAAGTTACTTTAGCAACTGTAGTTAATGAAAGTCACAAAATTGGTAACTTCTCACAACTGGTTGATCATCAACGTTACAGTTCTTACACCAGTCTATTTCATAATTATAGTGGCCTATATCCTGAAACACGTCACAATTTCTGAGAAGTCGAGGACATGCAAGTCAACATTTGTTAGTGGAAGGTCATTGTCCTTTTCCTCGTGAGATTCGTGGTGCTGAAGTTAGACTTTTAAAGGAACACCAACAAGAACACTTTCCTGATGAAATTGGTTATGTTTGAAAATCTAGTACCAAACCTAAGCCACAGTTGATAAACCAATCTTCAGAAAATGGTCTTCTTGTCGCCCCGGGCAGACTTGAGCATGCTATGCTCAACGACAAATCAAGATTCCCAATACTTATCGCAAAAATCTCTCTTACTCAATTCATAGTAAATTCTGTTCACCATCCACAACGTCATTCTGGTGTGAACTGTACAATCAATGCCTTGCGAAAGAATTTCTGGTTACCATTTGCTAGAAGCTGTGTTTCCAAGATTTTGAGTTAATGTGTTATCTGCAAACGTAAAATTGGTAAACCATTTATTCTACCCCCGTCTCCAGCATTACCAGATTTTCGATCGATTAAATTGAAACCATTCTCATCACTTGGTATCGACTACACAGTTTCAGGTTAAAAATTCAAGTGCTACATTTGTTTCTACAGATTGTCCACGACCAGTCAGCTGACCAGTTTATCCAGGCTTTTCGCCGACATTGTGCGTCTTATGGTACACCTGACAACATTATTTGTGACAACATCCGAACTTTTATAAAAAGCATCAGAGCATATCCACGATCTCCATCGTTTGGTTCAAGATGAGAAAGTACAGTTGTATATCAGTAGTAAGCATGTCTCTATTAGGCACATCCCAGCGAAGTCACCTCATTGGGGAGGGATGTACGAACGTTTGGTTAGTGTTGTAAAGAATGTCTTGAAGAAGGTGCTTGGAAGAACTCTGATTGATCTTAATGAAATGCTGACATTCGTCAAAAAAGTTCAGACAGTCGTCAATGATCGTCCACTTACTTACGTCTCCGGCAACATAAATGATTTACAACCAATCACTCCATCGAAATTCTTACTTAGATATGAAATCACTGCTTTGCCTCATTCGACGATCAAGATATAGCAGTTGATGACTACTCTACCCATGATCAGCCCAACAAAGCTTTTAAACGTATATAGCCACTTTATCAAACTTTTCAGTCTGAATATTATGCAACACTCAGAGAACGTCACACCTACCAAGTTAAAAAGAGGACAGCTAGTTCTGAATTTATCAAGGTTGGAGATGTTGTTCTGGTTCACGACCGAGAGTTACCTCGTAGTCTATGGAAGCTAGCTAGTCCAAAAACTTCTTCGTGGTCAAGATGGTTTAATTCGAGCAGCAGAGATCAGAACATATCATTGTAAAACCAACAGACCCAGAGGATCATTTCACTGAACAAAGTACTATTCCACAGAAGAAGCCCAGAAGAAGGAATTGCTGAGCAATCTTGCCACCTCCCCCAATATGTGGAATGGTTCCGACAATTTAAATATTGTTGTCTGAATGTTTTGGAAGTGGTAGTTGTCCTAAACCATTTCTGCCAAGGGGTGCAACCCTAGTAAAAACTGTATGTTCTCGCCGCCATTTGCACAGATCGGACGCAATTATACCTGACTGTAATTATTATGTAAAATGATGTACAATAGTTATTTATATTAAACAAGAAAAACCCTCCCTTCCCGAAATATAATTATATCTTTGTGGAGCCATAACTATCCACACACCTTGATTTGGTTTGCAGATCGTCGTGATAAATTTTAATTTTTGCTAACCAAA